CTCTCTCTCTCTTTCATTCTCTCTCTCTATTCCTATCTCTATCTCATTCTCTCTCTCTCTTTTCTTTCTTCTCATTATATAATATAATATAATATTATAGTATAAACGTTTACGGTTTTGGCCACTCAGTTCATAATCGCCGAAGCACATTATAGTCTGTGTTCCCGCGACATTTCGATAGTTTAGAATAATTTTAATTCACTTTTATACAACACTGATCCTACTCTCTAGACTTCCTTGTGTATACGCTTGTTCGATGGATCCCCGGGATCGTATTGACCGGCTCATCTCCTCCTTCTGGCCGTGGCTGCCGCGATCATTTGCCTCAGCATCGGCTCCGGGCTACACACTCGTGGATCACACTTCATATTGCCGTCGCCACCGCAACTGAAATCCATATTCATTTGTTTCAAATTGCAAAATTATAAAAAAAAAAAAAATTCCAAAATTGTACAACTTCTACTTAGCGAGGTATTAAATTTGGGGAACTTGAGGAAATTGAGCTACATTCAAATGTGTGAATGACTTACGTGCACTGAAGGCAAGGTCCAGACGCGGACCTAATCACTTCTCCGACACGGTACGCTTGTCCGCGGATTTGACAGCCGCTTCGTTTCGCGGCTCCCTTGTAGGCGTGAGCGTGGAAATGCGGTGGCAACGTTGTCGTCGTCGTCGTCGTCGTGGTGGTGATGTTAAGCGACGTGGCCATTGATACAGGACACTCGTATCTCGGGCAACAGAATCCACTGATCGGTTCCTCGTGGCAACCTGGGATCGGTGGTGGACAGCTCTGTTGCAAGCAAATGATATCGCTTCTGAAGCAGAAGCAAAAGTCGCACGGGTCGTCTCTTGGGATTTGTTGCGCCGATACGTAAACCTTGCCGCCATATCGACAAGTGCCCGGTCCGTAAATTGCTTGATCATCTTCGTCGTAGTCTTCGTCAGGATTCAAGTAGCTACCACCGTGTGTAGGGAAGTGTGGATTGTCTTCTCCAGTCACTGATTGATCCGGATATTCAGGAACTTGCGCAGCTGGAGTGCTCGAAGGCTGTTCATAAATAGTTGGTTGCACGGTCGCCGGTGGAAGATGTTCGTCGACTCCAGTTGGCAGTTGGCCTTCGGATGGTTCTTCTTTTTCGGTCGACGAAGGACCTTCTGGCAATCCACTGTGTTCTTCCATCTCTTCTTCTTGTTCTTCTTCGGTTGATTCAAGTAGAGATGGTTCCGTTGGAAGTGCGTGAGTTTTCGTGATGGGTTCTTCGAAAGGCACCTCGGTTGCCTGTTGCCCTTCTTCGGGCTTTATCGAAGTTTTTTCTTCTTCTTTGTGCTCTTCAGGAAGTGTTTTTTGAGGCTCTTCGGTTGGAGCTATATGCTCTTTCTCGGATGTCTTTTCAGTTTCTGGAGTCTGTTCTTCTGTTTCGCGCTCCGTTGAAGTTTCGATTGCTGGTTCAGTAGAAGGTTGAGTTTCTGGAATGCCAGGCTGTGCTTCCGTTACACCAGGATGTGCTTCTGTTGCAATAGGTTGTGCTTCCGTCACTTGTGTTTCTTCTGATGGTTGGCTCGTTTCAGCTGCCTTTGTTGTAGCTTCGGACACTTCAGGCACAGCTGGAGCTTCTGTAGCTTCAGTTGAAGGTTCTTCTTTTTGGGGAGACGTTGCTTCGATTTCAACTGCTGATGTAGTTGGTTGCGTTAATTCTAATTCAGTGGTTGGAAGTTTAGTCGTCTTTTCTTCAATTTGAGGAGCTTCAGTCGTGTTTGGTGCTTGTTCAGGGAATTGCTCCTTGAACGAAATGCCTTCCGTAGTTTGAGGAACTTCTTTCTCGGGTTCCATCGTTTGCTGTTGTTCAATTTCGACTGGCTTTTCTCCTTCGGGAACCTTTTCAGTTACTTCACTAGGTTTCTCCTCTTCAGGAAGAGTCTTTTCTGTTGTTTTACCAGGCTCCTCTTCTTCTGAAAGAACTTTTTCTGTCACTTCAGCAGGTTCAGGAACAGTTTGCACAGGTACTCCTGTAGTTTGTTCTTCCGGTTCTTTCTCTGTTGTTTCACTAGGAAGTTCCTTCTCTGCTGCTTCAGTAGTAACTGCTTCACCTGGTAGTTCACTTGCAAGTTCTTTGTCCGGAACTTTTTCTTCTGGAATCTCTCCTGCAGGGGTTACTTTTACAGGAGCTTCGGTCGAATATTCTTTCTCAGATGCTTCAGTCGTAGCTGTCTTCTCTGGTATCTCAGAAGGAATTTCTGGAATTTCTGTAGAAGGTGCTGTCTTTTCAAGAATTTCTGGAATTTCTGTAGAAGGCGCTGTCTTTTCAGGAATTTCTGTAGAAGGTTCTGTCTTTTCAGGAATTTCTGGAATTTCTGTAGAAGGTGCTGTCTTTTCAGGAATTTCAGTAGCTTGTACAGGTCCCTCAGTTGGAAGTGCTTTCTCTGGTTCCTCAGATAATCCTTGTTCTGGTGTTTGTTGAGTCGTTCCTTTCTCTGGCATTTCAGTAGAACCAGTCTCTTCCGGAGTTATTTGCCCTTCAGTTGGTACCTGTTTTTCTTCCACTGGTTTGATTGTTTCTTCTCCCATAGATGGTGCTTCAGTCTGTTGCGTTATTTCTGGCGCTTCTTCTGGTTTCTTTTCCGTCACAGAAGGTTGTTCCTCGGGAGTTGGACTTACTTCGCTTGGCGTAGTTACAATTTTACCCTCTGTTACAGGTTCCTCCTCTTTTATTGGCTCTTCTGGTGAAACTGGAACTTCTTCTGGTGCTGACGTGGAACTTTCTTTTACAGTTGGGGATGGTGTTTCACTAGGTTGTTCTTCGCTCGTAGGTGTAGCTTCTTCACCTTCTTCAGGCATCGCAGTTGTCTCTGCAGGTGTCACATCTTTTACAGTCGGTTTCTCAGTTTCTTCTTCAGGTTTCTGTTCCTCCATAGGTACTACTGGCACTGCAGTTTCTTTCTCAGATATTACAGATTCAGTCACTTGCTCTTCTTTTTCTGTTGCCTGTTCTGGAATCTCAGCTGGTGCTACAGTTTCACCAAGAGATTTTTCAGTAGTCGGTTGCTCCTCTGGTTGAATAGGTTGTTCCTTAATTCCTTCTGTGACAGCTTCTTCAGTTGCTGATGTTTCAATTCCCTTTTCTGTTGCAGGCTGTTCGGTTTGTTCCTGCGGCGAAGTTGATTCAGGAGCTGCGCTCGTGGTACTAGCTTCAATGATTCCTTCTGTACTAACTTCTTGGGACACAGGAACTTCCGAAGATGGCGTAGTTTCCTCTTTAGCAGGTAAGACAGACTCTGGAGTTTGTTGTTCCATTGCTAGTGTTACTTCAGGTTGTTGTTCTTCTGGTATAGACGATGTAGCTTCTTCTTCGGGTCTTGTTTTACCAGTAACCGGTTGTTCTTCAGTGACTGCCTCTTTTTCAGTCGTTTCTTTTGTCTCGGTAGATTTCGATGGTTGCTCAGTGCTTATCTCAGCAGTTTCGGTAGAACTTGGTATTTGTCCCTCAGATACCTTCTCAGGTTGTTCTTCAGGAGCTTCAGTATGCTCTTCAACAGCCGTGCTAACAGCACTTTCAGTTGTGACTGTTTCTTTGGTTTCTGCAGTAGTAGGTATCAAGGGCTGTTCAGTTTCTTCTGGCACGGCATGTTCTTTCTCTGGAATAGTCTCTGGTTTCTTTGGAACAGTTTCTGGTTCCTGTGGAGTTTCTATACCCTCAACTGATGACACTGTCGCTTCTTCTTCAGATATTTCAGTGCTACTTGGTCTTTCTTTAGTCAAACCAGGCGCTTCTTCTGTGGATATTTCCATTTCTGTTGTTACAGGTACTTCACCTTCACTTGGTTTAAGAGTTTCCTGTTCGACAGGAGTTGCTTCTTGTCCTTCACCTGCTAGACCTTCTTCTGGTGTTGATACTTCAACGGATGGTATGGATGGTTTTTCAGACTCTGCTTCACCAGGTTGAACAGTCTGTAGTTCACTTTCTGTAGTGGGCTGTTCAGGTTGAGCAGACTGTTCTTCTTCAGATGGCTTAGGTTCTTTCACTTTCTCTTCTTCTCCAGGCTGTGTCACCGATTCTGGACTTAAAGTAATTTCTTCTTCTAGTGGTCCTTGAGTTTCAGCCTCTTCTGACGCTGTAACTTCTGGTACTATGGAAGAGCTTGGAAGTTCAGGCTCTTTGCTTATATCTTCTTCTGGAATAGCAGAAGAGACAGTTATTTGTTCTTCACCTTCTGTAGGTTTTTGTTCTTCTTCAGTAGGTGGAACGGATGATTGTTCAGCCGATGGCTTCATTGTAGTAGGAGTTTCTTTTTCAGTTCCAACAGAAGTTTGTTCTTCTTGAACTCCTTCTGTCGTCTGTTCTTCACCCGCAGCAGGACTTGAGGCTTGCTCTTCAGGAACCTGTCCTTCAGGAATCGGCTGTTCAGTAGATGGTATTTTCGTTACCTGTTCTTCTTTTTCTTCTGGGAGCTTTGTGGAAATGATTGGTATTTCTGGCGAAGTTTCTTCTGAAGGTATTTGACTAGAAGATTCTACCTGCGGAGGTACTGGACTAAGTGTGTGTTCTTCAGGTTCTTTGGCAGCTTCTCCAATGGTTGTTTGTACGTGCTCAGGTTCGGCAGATTTTGGTGTCGTTTGCATTCCTTCGGGTAAACTGGTTGTGGGTATCTTTTCGCTCGTTTCTTTGCCAGGTGCGTGTGTTTCTGGTGCCACTGTAATCGAAACTTCTTTGACAGCTTCCGTGGTGCCTTCCTTTATTGGAACTTCGGTGACTGCAGGTGATACAGTCTTCTGTTCTTCTTCGTATTTAGGTGTTTTGTGTTCGATCATGTGATTATCAGACTCCAATACTGCTGTAGGCGTCGAGTCGCAAGTGTACATCGGACAGCAAGCATCTTTGCTAGTATGAATTGGCATACAGTTTGATAAATGATTGGGAGGCGGTGGACATTGAACCAGATCGCACTGAATGATACTACTAATGCAACGACATCGAAGTTGACAAGGATTGGCAGGAGGAACGGCAGAGTTATTACTGTAAGATTGTCCTTCGACGAGGCAATTGCCTTCTCCTGGAATTGTTGGTGGCAGATAAGGACCATGTGTAGATAAATCTCCAGCCTGTGTGGATTGCTCAACCACTTGTTCAGTCGGTGATGTTTCTGCATAGGATGTAGTTTCTGGAATTTCTTCCTCTTTAGATGTTGGAGTTGACGTTTCTGGAATCTTCTCTTCCGTAATCGGAGCCTCTGTTTCCTTCTCTTGAGGAGCTTGCGTTGTTGCCTCTTCCTTTGATGGAGCACCAGTTTGAATTTGTTCGGAAGTAGATATTTTCTCTTCTCCTTCTGGTAATTTTGTTTCTGCAGGAAGTGCAGAAAGTGTTGTTTTCGAAATTGTAGGTTCAGTCGATGACACTTCAGGTGTTTCAGCCATCATACCTTCCTCGGGAACTTTAACTTCTTGTTCGGTTGTTTCACTTGGAACAGCTGCCGTTGACGCTTCAGCTGGTAGTTCTGGTTGTTGAGTGCTTCCTTCTTCGACAGGTTGCGTTGGAGTTTGTTTAGTCGGTTCTGTAGAAGGTTCCGTAGAAAGTTCTTTGTGGATAATGGGAGTTTCTGTAGAAGGTTCCGTAGAAGGTTCTTTGTGGATAATGGGAGTTTCTGTTGTTTTTTCTTGTAACGCATCACCTTCTGTTTGTGCCTTTTCTGTGGGCAGAATTTCTTTTGGAAGTTCTGTCGATGCTTCGGGTACCTCTTTAGGAAGTTCTGTAGGTACTGCTTCAGAAGTTTCAGAAGGTTTTTCTTCGGTTGCAGGACCTTCTGTTGGAACTCCTACTGGAATAGTTTCTTCAGAAGGCGTGACTTCACTTGGCATCTCTTCTATAGTTTTTTCAGTTGGTTTTTCCTCAACAGGTCCTTCAGTTGGCTTTTCTTCTTCAGCAGGTCCTTCAGTTGGCTTTTCTTCTTCAGCAGGTCCTTCAGTTGGTCTTTCTTTTTCTATTGGTTGCTCAGTTGGTGTCTGTTCCATAGATATTGTAATTGGTTCCTCTTTTTGGATAGGTCTTTCTGTTTGCTGTCCCTCTTCAGAAGGTATTCCTCCCTCAACAGGTTGTTCCGTAGCTTCCTGTTCTTCTACAGGTGCTTCACTTGGTTTTCCTTCTTCAGTAGGTACCTCTGTAACTGGTTTTTGTTCTTCAGTTGGCTGTTCTTCTTCCTTAGGTTCTTCAGTTGGCTGTCCTTCTTTAGGTTCTTCAGTTGGCTGTTCTTCTTCTTTAGGTTCTTCAGTTGGCTGTTCTTCTTCTTTAGGTTTTTCAGTTGGTTTTTGTTCTTTACCAGGTTGTTCTTTCTCAACGGGTTCTTCAGTTGGTTTCTGCTCTTCAGTTGGTTGTTCACTTTCAGTAGGTATCTCAGTTGGCTTCTGTTCTTCAGTAGATACTTCAGTTGGTTTTTGTTCTTCCGAAGGTTCTTCAGTAGGCTTTCCTTCCTCAAGAGGTCCTTTAGTTTTCTCTTCTTCTATCGTTTTTTCTTCTTCTTCTGGTTTCTGTTCTTCCTCAGATTTTTCTTCA